TAGTGGTAAAAACAAACAAAAAATCCAAACTGTTAAAAATTTTAAAATGTGGACAGTAAAAAGTAACCTCCATCCTCTCCCAGGACCCAGCCCTTTGTATCCAGGTCCCTTCCCCAGCGGCAGCCATGAGTTGCTGTCTTCAGCATCTCCCAGCCTCTCCCCCTCACACCAGATGCCACCCTCTGCCTAAAGTTGTATAACTTTGTATGTGACCAAGTGCATATTCCTGGATACAGAAATGGTGTTCTGTATTTATAGCTATAGTGTTACAATAAATCTTAAAGTATATATAATTATATATGTTATCTATAAAATTTCTGGAAATAGAATTGTTTTTTTTTTTGAGTTAACTTTTTTTTTTTTTATTTGTTATGTATGCATTGCTTCTGCCTGAACACCAGAAGAAGACACCAGATCTCATTATAGATGGTTGTGAGCCACCATGTGGGTACTGGGACTTGAACTCAGGGCCTCTGGAGGAGCAGCCAATGCTCTTAACCTCTGAGCCATCTCTTCAGCTCTGGAAATAGAATTGTAATATGAAAAATAATCAGTTTAAAAGATGATGGAAATTCAACGCTACCCAGTTTCCTTGAAGAGAATTTAGGTAGCTTGTAATCATATTCAAATGCCTGTACTGAGACTTGTGTCCCACCAGGCTGTGAGCTTGCTTTCTCTTTCTCCTGGACAGGCTCCCCCCCTCTAGTCCTGGGGCTCTGGAGCCAGAGAAGGGGGAGAGGAGGCTCTGGGCCATGCCTCCAATGGCTGTGGCCCTGAAACCTGTGTTGCAGCAAAGCCGAGAAGTGAGGGATGATCTGCCTGGAGCATCTTCTGTTCTCCGTAGTGCCTCCCCAGATCTTAGCCTCCTGCTGGGACCCTCTTTCCAGAGCCAGAGCTCCTTCCAGCCCCTGGAGCCCAAGCCTGATCTGGCTCCACCCACAGGTAACCAAGGGCAGAAGGAAGCCAGTGGTGTTCTCCTTACACTCTACTGGTGTCTGTCTACCAGTCATGAACTGCAAGAAGCAGAAGCTCATTCTGTAAAGGGAAGAGGCTGTCATAGAAGTCCATGGGCTCACTGAGAACTGCAGTCCAAAGTGGTGCCGTCAGCACCAGTGGCCGTGTTAGGTGTTATCCTTGCTTCTTTCTGTAAAAGACTACCATTCTCTCTCACTCTCACACTAGTGGTTCTTGTTCTTTGTAACTTTGGCTTATGTATGGACTTGACCAGTCGTGACACTGACTCTAGCCTAGGCTCTTGACACTTAATAGTTTCTTAGGTCCAATTTAAAGAATCCAAGTGCTGGATAGTGCTTATCTATCGATGGGCTGACTTCGATTGGTGGCCATCCCAGTGTGACTTGGATAAACAAGGTTTCTTTGTAGTTGAAACATGTCCATCTAGTGTGAATTTAGAATGAAGAGTGTGCTGAGATTTGTAGCTTAGTTGTCAGTAGAGTGCTTGCCTAGCATGTGTGAAGCTGTGGGTTTAACCCTCAGCATTGCAGAAACAACTGATGATGGCATACAGCCTCATTCAGTGGGTGGAGACCAAAGTCAGAAGTTCAAGGTCATCCTCAGTATAGTAAGGTGGTTTTAAGATTATTTTTTATTATTTTATGTGTATGAATGTTTTGCCTACATGTATATATGTGCATGCCTAGTGCCTGTGGAGACCAGAAGAGGGCATCAAATCCCCTGAACCTGGAGTTATAGATGGTTGTAAGCCATAGTGCTAGTACTGGGAACTGAATCCAGGTCCTATTTAAAAGCAGCAAATGCTCTTAACCACTAAACCATCTCTTTAGCTCCTGCAAAGTGAATTTGAAGCCATCCTGGGGTTCATGAAACCCTATCAAAGAAAAAAAAAGAGTAGATCCCCACATGGTGGCTCATGCCTATAATCCCAGCACTTGGAAGGTGGAGGCAAGAGGACAAAGAACTCAAGGCCATGACTGGAGCTGTAACTCAGTAGCAGAATGCTTGCCTCTCATGAGGTGCTGGGTCCAGTCCCTACTACAGCAGAAGAGGAAAGTTGCCTGGAGGAAGAGCATTTGCTGTGTTAGCACCAGAGCCTGAGTTCAGACCTTAGCACCCATGTGAAAGCCAGTGTGGTTGTCACTGATAACCTCAGTCTTTGAGCAGGGGTTCTGTGATGGCTGTTCTTGGTTGCCAGCTTGACTTTACCTGGAATGAACTATAATCCCAGAATGGAGGGCTCACCTGTGAGAGATTTTCTACTTGGTTTGAAGTAGGTGAATCCACTTCTAGTCGGGACCTTTGAGGTAGGAAAATAGTGAGACACTGAGCCTGGCTTGAGCATCTGAGACCAAAAAGGCCACCCCCGGTAACACACTTCCTCCAAGAAATCCATACCTCCTAGTAGTGCCACTCCCTATGGGCCTATGGGTGCCATTTTCATTCAAACCACTACAGGGTTGGGGACCACTGGGGCTTGTAGCTCCGGGTTCAGTGAGAGACTCTGTCCCAAGGGAGTAAAGCAGATCCACGTACTTCTGTGGCCTCTCTGTGCACTCACACACACAAATAGTAATATTTTTACCTTATTTATTTGTATATGTATAGGCATATATATACCATGGTATTTATGTGGAACTATGGGGTTAATTTGTTCTTTATATCATGTGGGTTCCAGGAATCAAACTCATGTCATCAGGCTTGACAGCAAGTACCTTTATTGGCTAAGCCATCTTGCAAGCCACCAAAAGAAAAAAAAAAAAAAAAAAAAGAAGAGGTGGGGGTTGCCTTGGATCCACTATTCTGTCTAAGTGTGGCCTTGAACTCGATTCTCAAATGCTGAGCTTATAGGCGTGCACTGCTACCTTCAGTTTGTCGTGCTGGGATCAAACCAGTGCTTCCTGTCTGCTAGGCAAGCACTCTCATTTAGCTACTTCCCCAGTCCCTAGGATGGATCTTCTGTTTGTGTCCTTTAAGGAGTTCACAGTAAACTTGTGTAGAGCTTTCTGCTTCTGTCTACATTTCTGTCTTAAAATCCAGCTGTATGATCTCCCAGACAATTTCTCTCTTCCTCCCTTCTCCAGCTCTTTAAAACTCTGGTGTCATCGTCT